GGAAGGCGCAGGAGGGAGCCAATGCTCAGGGGAGCTGGATTAAAAGCTTTAAAATGCTGATCTCCAAGTTGGGTACTTGCTGTGCTTTTTTTTTTGTTTGTTTATATATTTTTTTTAAGTGCCAGTAGTCCAGGGGAAAAGTTGTTGAGCTCTGTCTGGAGGTGCTGCTACTGCGTCTGGAGGTGATGGTACTGCGTACCGAGCAGTACCGTCACAAAAAAAGCCCTGGGTACTTGTCAGCTCAAAGCAATTGTTATGACTGATGTAAATCCTGATGTTTTAAGGAAACGTTGCAGCTGTAGTAAGAGCACTTCACTGTCCAAAATGTACAATATCAGAGAAATAAGTCAGCTGCTCATACTAGCACGTTTTTTTCCCCCCCACCAATCATCACAGTGATCTCTGAACTGGTCAAAGAATAAAATTCTGGGTTTTGGTAGAAAGGCGTGATTGGTTGATATAATTTTAAACCTGAAATGTGATTTCTTTTCTGGGCTCTTTTAATTACTTTCATTTGGTGAGATTTGACTTTTGGGGGGGAATGTCTAAATATTTTCTATCTTTTGACAGATATGAAGGAACAACATGTCATAGAAACTTTAATTGGTAAAAAACAACAGATTGCTCTGGCTACACAGATGGTTAGAATGATTCTGAAGATTGATGATATTCGTAGGCCAGGAGAATCTGAAGAATGAAGGCTGTAGAACAAGGAATAAAATGTAATGGAACCATTGCAGTAACAAATATTCAGATGTTGTATCTCTAAAGTTCATCTTCAGCTATTTATTTCTTGACAATTTTTGTTTAAATACTGTAACAGCTAGTTGTTGAAGACAATAAAGTACCATTTAGCAACTGTCTTGAAGACTTATTTCAGACATTATTGTATGTTCTTATGTGTTTCCTAGCAAATATTTACATCCTTTTATAGTGACGTTGCAAAAATAGTAGCTTCGTCCATTGCCACTGCAGCAGAATCCTGCTGTTGCCTGTGGGCAAAATCTCTTACCATTGAATGTCTAATGGTCTGGATTTCGCTCTTCAGTGCAGCAGACTGGAAATTGTCAATTTACATAAACTTTTAAAATGGAGTCTTGTATGGAATTAAGTATGCAAATGAATGATAGAGTACTCTTTGTTCATATAATAATAAATTTGATGATACACTGTCACATCGTCCTTAATTATCCGTTTGTTGTAGAATTTTGTTTTAAATTCATAATTGCATATTAGAAATGTAGAAAGTCTAGTCATTTCATTTTCTTCTTAAATTGGATGACTACATTTGTTCTTGTCTTTATTTTGGCTCCTTTTCAGCAAAGCCCTTAAATCTGTGCTTAACTTTACAAGCTTGGACTAGTCATGCTGAAAACTACACATGTTAAACTGTTTTGCTGTATTAGAGGTCTTTATAGCTGGTCAGTTTTAAAGTTTCCATTTTGCTTATAAGAGCATTTAATTTTTATATCCAAAACCAATAGTTTTAGCTGCTTTTATTTAACAGTAGTTCATTTTAAAATGAAAATTTGTGATAATCTTCAAAACGATTAGTGCTATTCCCTGTTGTTGCCATATGGAATACAGCTATCCAAGAATAAAAGTGATTGGCCTGGGTCAGTTGACTTTTGTGTGTGGGACTAAACGTTTGTATAGATTATTGGGCTCAGGCTGGATACACGAGCTCTGGTGTCCTGCACCTCACAGGTTCGAGTTCAGGCTGCACCTTGTGCCCACATGTCTACATAGCAGTTTCTCATCCTGAGTCATCTGACCCTGGCCAATCATGGGTTTTTATCCCTGTGTAGGGATTCCTTTGAATGTTGATGCATGATGAAAGATCACCTCACTGGAAAAACTTAAGACAGACATGATAAAAATCAATGAAGAGCTAAGGGCAGTGTCTCATTACAGTTTAAGAAGGAAAGTTTAAATTCCTTCACTTGAAATATTTAAACTATAAAGTTCAAAAGCTATGTGCCTAACGACTGTCACCAATTTTTTTTAAAGTGAAGCAAAACTGAACTTTAAATTCCATGTGCCCCAATAGCATAGAGGATCTCTACTGTTGAAAGTGACAGAATGAAAGATAATCTTCACTATGCTTCAGTAATGGCTATTTATTTTTTAAAATTGTCCAGACTATACGATACAATATTTACTTCTAAAGGGTTTATAAATCATGCCAACAGCTCCAGTATTGTTTTCAAGAAATAACTGAGCTGGCATTTCAAGGTTTATGCTTCTCTTCAGAAGCGCTCCAATACCAAATAGAATGTTGAGAATGGTACAGTAAAATTTCTCAGAAGGACCTTAAAGGAGAATGACTGGCAAGTTACTAAGATCATGATACCATCTATATGTTTTGTTAGTCTATAAGGTGCTGCAAGAGTTAGTTACAGACTAACTCGGCTACCTCTCTGAATCTTTATTCCACTGTAAGTTGTTTGTGTTAAATCTCAAAAGGTATAAGATCTAACATTTTTATTGGTACCGAGATTTTTTTAAACGTGCAATGCTACAGGAAGAATTAAGTAATTGTTGATTCAAGTCTAAACATTAGATTAATATTAATGAGTTTTTTAAAGCTTTAGTTGAATTTTTAATACGGAGATTCAGTTTATGGCTTCCTAACTCACCCATGTTACCTGCATGCATGTATTTCAATAGTTACCATATAATTGTGCTGTAATACAAAAATCTACCACCATCCCTCTATTGGTGGGGGGCCTGGCACATCTGCCTGAGCATTAGAGCTGCTGAAAGTTAGAGGCTCTTATATGGGCCTTTCCCTGCTAATGTGTTTCCATACTTGCATGAAAAATGCTAGGTGATTCTTGGGAAGTCTCCTGTCTTCTAGAGTACCAGAGCTGTAGGAGCAGTTGTCTTGTACAGTGTTTGAGGCTACAGCTTCAAACTCCCTTTGTTTGCCACAGAACATACATCAATTCCCGTATATGGGCAATGTTTCATTCTTGAGGAAGTAGGGGAAAGCAAAACAATTAAAGCCTAAATCCTCTTTTCTCCCCAAACATTAACATAGAAAATAGTGTAGCTAGTTCATACGTGTCAGATCTATCTGCATAAACTTTGAAAGAAAGGTAGAGCAGGCTTGAACAACAAAATGGGTTAAAGTGGAGTTTCTTTTATGTTGTATTATTGACAGAAAATAATTTCCTGAGAAGCTATTAGAGATAGGACTAATATTACTTCCTGTTAAGGCTGCCTCACGCTGAATGCAGGCTTTTACAAGAGGCAGTAGATTAAACTTTGCCAGACCGTAACTCTTCAGGATGAAATGTTCTGAGCCAGGTGTCAGCCTCAAGCTGAATATCTCTGGAAAATTTCAGACAAAGCCATTCAGTGGTTTCTAAGAACAAGGCCAGAGATTAGCACATTTTTTGCCCCCGTGAAGTAGTGGCTGGCTACCATTTTCTTGAGATGCTCTTAACCCTTCCAGCCTATGGAGTGGGGGTGGACAAGAGAACCTCCATTTGCTGGATCCAGCCCACCAAGTGGGTTGATCCAGCCTGCAGATGCCCTTCTACTCCCCCAGTCCAATCAGGGTCTGTGGGGGGGGAGGAGGGGTGAATGGGACGACATGAAAGTGTTCTGCTCCTTCTGCCTAAGGCCCTGCCCTTTCCAGGGCAGCCCAAGGTCACTTCAAAAATTTGTGAAGTGGGCTCCCCTCTTCTAAAAGTATTGCCCTGCCCCTTCCAGGAGGAAGTTGAGGATGTCCTGTGACTTTGTGGGGCCACAGGGTCTGTGTCAATCAGATGGTGCAGGGAGAAGTTCATCAAAGAGGGTCTGGCTGAACTGGAAAAGGTGTTGCCACCTGATACACCCTACACCAATGGTTTTTAAACTTATTTTTCTCATGACCAGTTTGAAGAAAATTGTTGATGCCCGTGAGGAGGCTGATCAGGCAGAATACCAAGGGAGAATTCTGAAGGGCTGTGAATGAGACATGGGTGGGGAGCACCATCCCACAGGACCCACGTATGGAAAGTGAGAAACAGTAGACAAGGCTGCCTTCGTCTCCTAGAGAGCACGATTTGCAGCAGAGCATCCACAGCTGCAATTAATGTCAATGGGAGATATACTTTGTACCTGTAAAAGTATATAAAATGCTGAGTACCCACATGCTCAGTTATGTTACTGTGGGAAAGTCTGAAAAGTTTTTGGCTAGTGATTAAAACCTCAGCCTTAACTTTGCATATATATTGTGCTACGTGTGCACCAACTTTTTCAATGTGAACATGAAAAAAAATACTAGAACTATAGTTAGAACTGCAGGGAGCAGCATAACTCCATGACTCCACTCTGGGTGGAAACTTCATACACACTATAGAACAGAAATACATTTACAACTTTTGTCTTGTTTCTTGCCAGCATCGAATTCTACTTGAAAAAAAAAAGCAGTCATGTAGCACTTTAAAGACTAACAAGATGGTTTATTAGGTGATTAGCTTTTATGGGGCAGACCCACTTCCTCAGATCATATTCTGAAAGTGAATTGGCATGACCGTTATATAACAGAGGGATACAGTGAAAAAAGTAAACAAATTTCAAACTAACAAATCAGCTACATAGAACAGAAGGTGGGGCCCCATCCAGTGTGGATGTTTTCTTTTTGTGCAAAACCCCTTTTTTCCGCAAGATCCTTATGCCCCAAGAAAGGAGGGCTACTGATCTTGCGGGAAAAGTGGGTTTTGCGCAAAAAGAAAACTTCCACACTGCAGCTACATCTAGACTGGCAGGATTTTCCACAAATGCTTTTAACAGAAACGTTTTTCCATTAAAAGCATTTGCAGAAAAGAGCATCTAGATTGGCACGGATGCTTTTCCGCAAAAGCACTTTTTGCGGAAAAGCATCCGTGCCAATCTAGACGCGGTTTTGCGCAAGAAAGCCCCGATGGCCATTTTCGCGATCGGGGCTTTTTTGCGCAAAACAATACCACTGGCCCTCTTGCGCAAAAGCAGTTGTGCAATAGGGCTTTTGCCTGAACAGAAGCAGCATAGTATTTCCGCAAGAACACTGACAATCTTACATGAGATCGTCAGTGTTCTTGCGGAAATTCAAGCAGCCAGTCTAGACTCAGCCTGCTTGTTTTTGTGCAAAAAACCCAGTGCAAAAATGGATTGGCAAAAAGTATGCAAATGAGATTGTGACTCATGCAAATGAGGCCCTTAGCATATTTTTTGCCAAGAAAACTCGTAGTGTAGACGTAGCCATCATGTTTATATTGGGCGCTCTCCTGTTCAAATCCTTTTGCCCCATCTACTGGAAATGGGGGAATTGAACAATGGTCTCCCACAACACAAGAGCATGTTTTGACCAATTACTTTTTCCCTCTCTCTGTTGTTGACAAACATGCAGTGTAGACACCTTCAGGTGTTTTGTCATTGATTCTGGCCTCCAAGAAGTGGCCCACAATTCCCAATCAGCCGCTCTGTTCAGCAGTTTGAACTCCGCTACCCTGCAGCCATGTAATCAGCTCCCCACTCTGCTCCATTACAAGCCCCACAAAATGTAAATCCACAGCATGCTGGCTGGCTTTTCTGTGTGAGTTCATTGGTGAGGATAGTTACTGTCTGGTTTCATCCACATGGTGTTGAGGGATTTTATGCACTGGATGAGGTACACCACACAGGGCTGCCCTCACAAATTGTGGTGTATACAGTGTAAGCACCTGGAGCTGACCCCTCCTGACAGACTGGCTCAGCATTCAGTGGTGTCATGGCATCTTCCTCAGTGTCCATGTCTGGCCATCACATCAAATGCTGCCCTGCTTGGACAGCCACAGAGCTGTTGGATCTGAGGAATGTATGTGGAGAGGAGTCTGTTCAATCCCTGCTCAGTGACCCATAGGAACTAGGATGCATATGGGCGCATTTTTCGATCCTTGTGGAAAAGGGGTATGAGCGGGGCATGCTGCAGTGCAGAGCGAAGACTAAAGAAATCAGACAAGTCTATCATAAGGTCCGTTATGTGAACTGATGCTCCAGTGCCATTTCTATTAGGAGCTGGACGCTGCCCTCAGCAGTGACCCCAGCTCCACCGCCAAGAGCCCTGTGGCACAGAGAAGGCAGTCCAGAGAGGATCTATGCCAGAAGATGAAATAGGAGCTGAAGAGGTTGAGCTAGACAAGGACCAGGCGCTCCTCCCAGCGTTGCCAAGTGTGTCTGGCTGCCAGGAACTGTTCTCCACTGCTGATGGATACAGTGAGTCTGAGCAAACACTTTCTCGGGACCAGAAAGCAGAGGATGACATGCAGGGTTAAGTGGTGGGGGCTTGTGGAGTGCAGGGCCAAGAGCATGGAGAAGTGGGAGGCTGGCTGCATTCCAGTGAGCTGCATGTATCCCTGTGCAGCTAATCCATATGGCCGAGCAGCATGTTGATGCTCGCCATGATCTCAATGGAATCCCACAGAGAGAGGCTACCAAAACTTTTGAAGAGGTACTTGTAAATTTTCTGCCACAGATTCCATGGCAGTGCAGCTTTGTCCCCTCCTCCATTGTAGGACACTATCTCATACCATTCATCAATTCCTTGTGCAAGAAGCAGAGCCAAACTTAGGTGGGCTGCATATGGAGCAGAGCAAACACTCCAAACCTGGAGAAGTTGTGCACTGATTTCCTTGCTTACCCTGAGCAGGGAGATGTCTGCCAGGGTGATGCTCACCTGTGGAGAAGTGTGGCATAATTAGAACGATGGTCCTGCATGCAAAGGGAATTTTCTAGCCCTGGCTGGAATTTCTTTTGTCTATATGCAAAGCCCCCAAGCTCCCACCCCCACTCACTCACTACGATTATGGTTATGGTGCTTGCCGAGATGCGTTCCTTGCAAGGATCAGTGGGAAAATGAGTGGAAATGTTGGAAAAGGGGTTTGTAAGTGAAATATTACAATGTAGGATTCAATGTTATCAGACTCCTTTTTGTGCATTGTTCTGAACAGCAGAGACCATGGCAACCTTGCCATGAACCACGTTGGAGAGGCTGCAACAGATAAGGAAGCGGCCTCAAAGAAACACGGAGGATATGATTCACAAAGTGCTAAATCGATCAGCGAGTGAGCGCGGACATTGGGAACACTTGGAAATGGAGCTGCAGAACCACAAGGATAACCAGATCTTTGGCAGGCAGGCCACAGAATGCATGACCAGCGTGATAGAGGAACAGACAGAGATTCTCAAGTGTTTAATCAAGCAGCATAGTGAGCCAACACAGGTTTGTCACTTCCCCACTCCCACAACAGATTCAAATTTGTGTGTCCAGCAACCCCCCCTCTATGCTCTCACATTCTTTTTCACTCATTCAGCATCCTCATTTTCCAATGTACTCCACATGCTCTCCCAACTTTGATTATGAGATCTGGACCTACACTCATTTGTGAGGGGTAACCCTTCAACAGCATCTCCCTTTTCAGTTGTCGGAAGGGTGCTTTATTGTGTTTCAGTGCACTGATGAATAAAGGCACACTTCTATAATGGTACAACATTTTTATTTACTGTTCAACAATCTCAGAGACCAGTCACTGTAATCCCAGGTGCAGACATTAAAGGCTTGTCCTCGGATGTGTGTTGCATTGGTTGGGGGGTTCAGCTTGGAAGCGATTGTAACAAAGGTTTATTTCAGTGCCCCCCATTTTCAAAGTGCACCCTCAAAGCCTCCCTGATGTCAACAGCAGCCCTTTAAGCTTCTTTGACAACTCTACTCTGCAGCCAAGTGCTGTGCTTCAGTGCGCCACCCCTGAGCAAACAATTCCCATTAGAGTGTCACAAATTATGCAAAATGCAACACACAGTGATAACCATGGCAATAGTGTCCTCAGAGAGGTCTACCCTGCCATAGAGACACCTCCATCTTGCCTTCAATCTGCCAAAGGCACATTCGACCACCATCCAGCACGTACTCAGCCTGTTGTTAAAATATTCCTTCCTGCTGTCCAGGTGCCCCATGTACCGTTTTATAAGCCAGGGTTGCAAAGGGTAAGCTGGGTCTCTCAGGATCACAATAGGCATTTCTACATTCCCTACTGTAATCTCGTGGTCTGGAAAGAAAGTCCCCAGCTGCAGCTTTCTGTACAGCCAGTGTTCCTGAAGATGCCATGAACTTTTCCAGACCTCCCATGGTCATGTCTGAAATGCCTCTGGTGATCCACAGGTGCCTGCATTGCATCCCTTCCTGTTGATGTACTTGGTGGCAAGGTGCGCTGGTGCTAAAATCTGAATGTGTGTGTCATCTATTGCCCCCCTCCATAATTGGGAAATCCCATGTCGGCAAAGCCAGCCACTATGCCATGCACATTTCCCAGAGTCTCAGTCCTCTGTAGCAGAATACAATTTATTGCCCTTCGCACTTGTAGCAGTACAGCACCAGTGGTAGATTTCCACACTCCAAACCAATCTGCAACTGACCGGTAGCCATCATATCCCCAGTGATTTAATTTATCAAGTTTGTTGTGGTTTCTACCCTTTAGGTGATATGCCTCAGGAGTAACCTGAAACCATTTTATAACAGCTCATACATTATGGCATAATTTACATTCATAGCATTAAGCTCTTGTAAAGCTTTCACAATCCATTTGGGAAGTAAGACAGTCATTCTGTTCTTCAGGGATTTTGGGTAGCCTGCATATTCTATGAAAGGTGGTCAAATACTCCACTATGCAATCCTCTCTGTAATTTGGACAATATGTATCCCAGCTAGGTGATCCCTCTGAGCAGTGTTCTGGCTATTTTTTCCATCCATGTGCAGAAAACATTTTGCTATGTGTACCAGGGCATGTGTGGATGTGCACCACCAGTAGAAATACAAGCTGCTAGCTGTGGGTGCTCTGCTAATCAGCTGGGCAGCATTTGAATCTCTCCTGGGTGTCTGCCCAAGCACTTAACTTACAGGAAACACTGCCTGTGAGGAGCACCCAGGAGCTGTCTCTATAAGTCCAGCTTTTTAAGCTCATGCCACCATTCCTTCTATTTTTCTTGGACTTGCCATTTCCCCCTCCTTTTTTTTATGAGTTTTTGCTACCTACCTTCATTCTTCCACTTCCCGTTCTTTTGCTTGGACCACTATTTTCCTATCCTGGGTTCTTTCTGTTATATCCAGCTTTATGACATAGTTTGGCTCATCCTCCTTTCACAACAAGCTATTAACTCCCTCTCCCTGTCTCAGTAAACACCAGGCCCTTTTGCAAACTAACCTATCTAAGCTCTGACAACAGTGTTCTGCCAGTCTTTTAACATGGCCCCATAGGAGGAGGTGATTAAATTGTGGGAAAGCAGCGTGTTGATCCTCTGTCCTCTACATCGTCTCTCTCTGCACAGAAGTGCTTCTGTACTTCCGCTTTTGGAGGGGTTCCCAGAAACTCACCTGCTGCCAAGAGAACATTTCTCACCCTGTTAAAGAGTCATTTAAATGGATTGACAGTGTTTGGTTTATAACTATCTCAACAAATCATCTCTGTGGTGCACCAGGCAGTGCACTGAGCTGTGTGGTTGTTGAACCTATCCTGGGATGCAGCCACTGTCTCTGTCTATAACTGACCGGTCATGGGATGACTGACTTCTGCAAGTAGACAGTGCCTCACACCCTAGCGCTGACAGTGCGTGACACCTCTGTGTCACTGCTACTAGAACTAACATTCACCAGCAATAGGAATACTGTGTGGGGAAGGGTAGGTGAGGAATTGTTCCATTATTGAAGATGACTGGAGCAGGAATCTTTTCATTCATTGTGTGCAATGTGGTTTGAGATTACAGCCCCCAGCTCCAATTCTGTGCAACAGTAACTACTGGGGGTGTTTCAAGGGAAGAGATTAGGTTACAGGAGAGTTTAAGTGTGAAACTGCAGCTTAACCCATTATCATAGTTTCTGCTCTTCAAGGGCTTCTCCTCAGCTGTGTTTACAGGCTTTGGTCCCATTAGGGGACATCCTTCTGGGGATGTGTGAATGCCTCTTTGTCCTTTTTCTAAAGAGGGCCTGATCCTTCTTTCTTCTTCGCCTGGGAAGCTTGCCTCAGCATGGTGGATAAAACACTCCCCCCATTTTTGCCCATCTGCAGACAGTTACAGGAAATGAACTCATTTATTCACCAGGGCCCTGCCAGGAGAAAAGAGAAAGCTTGTCATGCTTTTGTTTCCCTTGTTTGTGCTTTTTCCTCAGGCTACGGCTACAATGCCATTTTTTTTTGCGGAATAGGATATGCAAATCGTGTTCGCATTTGCATATCTTCTTCCAATTCTTTTTGCAGAAGACATTTTTCTGATAAAAAGAAAAAAAGCCCTCTTTCACAAGATCCCTTATTCCTCAAAAATCAAGGTTTACAAGGATCTTGCGAAAGAAGGGGGTTTCTGACAAATGGCCCCATCTACACAGGGCTTTTTATCGGAACAACTTCTTCTGCAAAAAGAATTGGAAAAAGATATGCAAATGTGAGCACGATTTGCATATCCTCTTCTGCAAAAAAAACAGCAGGCTGTGTCTAGACTGGCAAGATTTCCGCAAAATCATCTGCTTTTGCGGAAAAACTTGCCAGCTGACTACACTGGCCGCTTGAATTTCCGCAAAAGCACCGACGATCTCATGTAAGATCGTCAGTGCTTTTCCGGAAATACTATGCTGCTCCCGTTCAGGCAAAAGTCTTTTTCTGAAAGACTTTTGCACAAAAGGGCCAGCGTATACAGCACCGTACTGTTTTCCGCAAAAAAGCCCCGATCGCGAAAATGGCGATCGGGGCTTTTTTGCGGAAAACCTTTTGTGGAAAAGCATCCTGCCAATCTAGACGTGCTTTTCCAAAAATGCTTTTAACGGAAAACTTTTCTGTTAAAAGCATTTCCGGAAAATCATGCCAGTGTAGACATAGCCACAGTGTAGCCACGGCCTCAGTGAAGAACTCGTGAGCCCCAGAATGCTGCGCGGCTCAGTTGCTGAAAGAGAACACTGTTATAAACCACAGCTCCACCTTTATGCTCATTGTACTACAGTCAGGTGCCAAGTGCACACTCCCCATATCCTCCAAAGCCAGGAGCAGCCTTAAAACCTGGCAATTGGGATCATGTTAGGTGCCAACTTTCAGGGGTGCCACCTCACTTGCTCAACTGTTTTCTTGTTTTATTCAGCCACTTAGGGCACCAAAAATGCTTTCCTAAGCAGCAAAACACTGTGGGCTGGGCCTGCCCCCACCCTTCCTTTAATAACACCTCTTCCATCAAGCCAGGTGCTAATGGCTCTGACGCACCTCTGCCCAGTGCATTTTGGACCTGCCTTATATGGGATGAAGTTTGAGGGATAGATGCCAAGAGTTTTGAAAATCCCTGGCTCAGCTATCCTTCTAAAGAGCTAGCAAAACAATCTCCCACGTTCTGTTACAAGGAAATGGAAGGTGCAACTGGAAGGCAGTCTACTATCATTTCCTCACAAAGGCAATGAAAATGTGAGGGCGAGGTTTGGGGGACACTGCGGGTTGAACTGTCCTCTCTGCTCCACCCTTTCCACAAGCAGATAACTCAAATCTTCAGATCGTACAGGACAGTCAATAAACTGAGCTGGACCAATAGTCTCCCATTGCCAATTCCATCCCTCTAATTCTTCTTACTTTGGTAAAATATCAGTGGCCCAAGAGATTTCACTTAGCTCCCCGGAGGTTGGTGCTTGAGCTCCACCAGCAAACTTGCCATGACCACTCTCATTGCAAGTTCTTGGTTTGTCCATGGGCATTGCTTTGCCATTGGTTTACTGATGTAAGCTGGGAGCCTGTGGGTGCTCATAGCAAGTGACTGAGAACAATATTCTGACAATTTACAATAACCCTAAACAACAACTTGTCTGAATCACACAGGTGAATAAAGAAAACGGGTCTGAGGCCAATGGGGAAGAGTCAGAATGGACAAGTTCTGTCTGAGGGAAATGAG